TAAAGAAGTCAACTAGGCACGCTTTGAAACCAAATGATTATGAGCATTCCAAAGTTGCTTCAACAGTGCATAGGCTATCGCTTTTCTCTCTTGTTTCTTTTTTTTTCTTTTCAATGATAGGGATGTTTTCGAGTGTGTTTTTTGCATTTTTGTTTGTGTATTATTGAAGCTAAATAAGTAGAGGCGAGTAAACCCTAAAAAAAAGACAAGACAAAAAAAAAAAAAAAACGCTAAGCTGTTATAGTCAGTTACAGGTTAAGAAGGTAGCGGCAAATGCCCCTCAAAGGGAATCAGATATCCCTCCGCCACCTCCGCATCCAATAGCGTCCCACCGTTTCCGTGACGTCGCGGCCAACGCGCAAGGAAGGGCTTGCCTTTCTGTACATATTTGCTTTATCTTTCGACTTTGACTTAGCATTGTGGAAGCCACGAGAGGGAGATTAGAGTTCTCCCCCACCGACGGAAACAAATACGACTTTCGGGGATTAGCTTCCCCCCCGATGGATACAAAGGCTGCTTTCAGGGGCTCGGTTCCCTCTCCGATGAATACAAAGGTCGCTTTCTTAAAGGGACGATGAAATGATTTTAAAATCGAGTTTCATCCACCGCACGTCGTAAAAGGTGTGAAAAGAAACACAAAAACACAAAAATAGGGAGCCCAAAAAAATTATTTGCCATAGAACTTTTAAAAGAAAACTGGACTCTTTTGCGCCTTCCTTCCTTCGCCTGTTCACTACGATGCATACGCAGAATCGGTGCACGTCAGCCGAATCCACATCGCCTATTGGGTAAGAGCCTACCTCACCAGCACCGCGATCGTAAACAATAAATAGCCGGCGAATGTTTCCTAAAAGTTTTGTTAAATAATATTCAGATCCACATTTTGTAGCATAATTAGAGATGTGTGGCGAAAATTGCCAAATTTGATAATGCTGAGAGCCAAGCGCCATCTATCGTGATGTAAACGAAGCAACTACTGCGCGTGCGCAGTAGGGCAGGGCCGCCAGTTACTTGGGTGACGGCGACCGACGAACATTTATTTTCTTTGTTTTCCTTCCTCTCAAAACTCTGACTGACTGAACGTTTATTTTTCTACGTGTTCTTCCCGCGCGTGCCGACTTCAAGCAGCAAGAAAACAGTACTTAAAACAGACCACGACGAACAAGAACGCTGGATTCACCGACTCCGACGAAGCGTATAGGCCTAGCAGGCATTCCGACTCGGCGCTGCGTTGCTTCGTCGCAAGACCGTCTGCCTACGACCGGCTGGCGTGCTAAATGGAACATGCCCGCGCGACCCTTGTGGACCCTTCCCGTATTATAGTTTGATCACTGACCTCAATTCTAGATTAAGAGGTGAGGAGGTCAATCTCTTCCCCTTGTTTTCCGAGGCAGTGTTGACGAACACTCGTCGAAAAGGGACTCTCGTCGATTCTATCTTCTTGTTTTGTGTGATATAGAGCTGAAATAAACGCCGTATGGATTGCCTTCGTAACACGGTATGTACACTTTGTTATTGGTATGCCATTTTTTTTCTGACAGACTGCACGTCACTGTCGACCCCGGTCCAACCTTTCTTTGCCGAGTGTCGCGTCAGTATCGAGTTGCAATTGTAAAGAGTAAAGCTATACGCACCCCGGAGTGCGCTTCGGGCGGAAATGGCTATACGCACTCCGCTTTTCTCGTATAAAAAGAGTCAAAAAGAGTGGACACAACGAGTTTCCTAAGCGGTGCCATGGCATAGGGGTTAGGATGTCCGTTTCATACGCAAGTGGTTGCGGGTTCGATCCGCGGTGAGCCAACTTTTTTTTTTTTTTTTTTCTCAAACATTTTGTTTTGTCGAGGCATTTGGCGATATTTACGATATTTCCTTTTTTGCGATGAACAGTAAAAAAAAAAAAAATCGAATGTTGTCGAGAAACTTCGCAGAACTAAATGGTAGCGGACTCGCTTTCCGGAGGTGCGATCGGGGACAGCGGGGCTTGGATTGCCGGCTGGACGCCGCGAAGCGGCGTGTACTGGTTACGCTTTGTAATTAGCAGCCGATACTGTCGCCGCGAAGCGGCGTGAACGCAGGCGGGGGGCTGTGTTAACGAGCGCCCCAGTGATTCACGCGCCGTTCGAAAAGGGTGGCCCGAGCGGCAAGATCTCTCGGAGGGGTGCGTATAGCCATTTCCGCGCGAAGCGCACTCCGGAGTGCGTATAGCTTTACTCATTGTAAAAGAACGGTCCCTAAGCGCTTACCAACAGCGCGAATACAAGACTTCCATCAAGCGCGCGCGTCCGCTCCGAGTGTAAGCAGGTATTTACGTGGCTCTTGCTGACACTCGTAGTTCAAACGTATCTTTTTTAACGTCGGCTCGCTCCTGCATCTCCGAGGCCGCGAAAAACGCCATCTACGTCGCTTTGCAAACGACTGACACGGGCCGGCCCTTCTGCCAACAATGACAGGGTGGTGACAAGACTCGCTGCACTTCCCAACAGACATACCGGCGTATGGGACTAGTCCCATGCTGTCGCTGTAGCGCAACATATCTCATTGAATTTCGCTCAGCTGCGATGCGGCGATGAGAGGCGCCGATTCAGGAAATACGTCGGTGACATCAGCGCAGTAAAACCTACCGGCGCACCCCAACTCGTTGCCGCTAACACTCCCATTCTCCTACTGCCGAGAGAACTTCCGGTTCCGGAAACGGTCTACGTCACGGCTTCTTTTGCGGTCAGTTGGAGAGAATGAAAAAGTCGATATTTCAATAATTTTTTGTGTAAAAGTTAATAAACCGAGACGAAAACGGATGCCTGTTCGGCATTCAGTGAACATTGACGGTTTAATGTAAAAGTTATCTGGAAAAAGTAAAAAGGTCATTTCATGGTCCCTTTAAAAAGTGGGATCGGAGACAAGTGGGAATCCATTGAAGCGGAACAAGGAGCGTTTCCAGTGAACTCTTCTTTCGACTGCGGAGAGATTTGAAACGGGCGCATCACACTTGTGGGAGGAGCTTCTCCTACCTTCTTGACTTGTAACCGACTATAGTTATTTTGTCGTCCGGTTTTCTCCTCATTGTAGGGTTCGTAAAGTCAGAGTATTGCTATTTTGGAGTTATGTTGCGCCATAGCCTCCTCTATACGGAGAAAGCCTGGCGCGTCGCGAGAAAAGACGGACGCCGTAAATGGGAAAGGAGGGGCAAGGAAACGGGAGCGGAGAGAACCCTGTCTGCTAGCGCCACAAAAGAGCTAGCGGCCAAACGCAGAAACAATATTTTTTTTTCTCTCTTTTCTTGTCGCTATCGTGGAGAGGAGAAACTCAACGTCCACCCTTTCCCGTTTCTCCCAGCGCCCTTTCGAATCGCCGAGCCCGTTTCTACCGGAGTACGAAAACGACGGTGACGAAAACACAAAAACAAGCGTGGTTCGGGGAGCGGCCGCTCATGACCCAAGCGCTCGCTGTCTAGGTCTGCCCTTTCTGCTCTGCGCTACCATATTGGTTACCGTTCGGCGCGCTCCTCCTCTCCTTTTTCCTGCGGCCGCGCGCCCTATTGCTCCGTCGTCGATGTGCCCGGCTTTCTATGCCTCGACACTCAAAGGGTAGGGGAACTTTAGTTAAAGGCCGACGACCAGACTAGAGATTCTGCAAGGCAGAAGATCCTCCTCACCATGGGGGAGGAGGAAACAGGCAACGGTGGACAGGGTAGAAGAGGGAGAGGAGGGAACGGGGGAAGAGTGGAAAGCGCGAACTGGACGTCGGTCTTTAAGCCGCCTGCATTCCCCGAGGCGAGGCCAGCGTTCTTCGAGATCAGGATTTCGCGGCTTTTGTGACGTCGGGAACAAAGCCGTTCGCACCTGCGAGCCTGAAGAAAGGCTTTGGTTACTAACATGGCCAAGTTTGGAGAGAGCTGTTCGAAGAGCCGGAGCCGGAGATGTATTTTTCCCACAACCCACGGACAGCGTCGTCTTCGTTTTGCTTCGGTATGTTGTGGGCACAGCCCCTCGCCGTAGTGGATTGTCGAAACGAAACACACACAAAAAAATTATACTGACATTGGAAAGGGGGAAGGGGTAAAGAGGACAACCATGAAATTTCGGGAATGTTCCGACCCTTGAACCCCCCCCCCCCCCCCCCGGTCCCCTGGCCACGCCACTGGTATGCAAATATGTTCGTGTTTTCCAAATAAAATTCAGTTGGCAATACTACTTCTTTCAGCTCGGTTGTTTGTTTTTCTTGCGCTTCTAAGTATAGGTTTGTTGCAGCTGACTTCACTTCCGGCTAAACTGTAGGTCAAAACCAACATTATCGTACTATCAGTGCCTTGGCGACATGTTGGAGGCGAAAAATGTTCTTCACCTGACATGAAGTGCAGTCCGTAAACCCGTAGTTAGTGTACGAAGCTTTTCTGTCAAGATCATAGAGTCAACTATAATCATCTAAAGCGAAAAGTCTCATGCGTGCATAGGACAGATCCACCTTTTTTAGAACACTGTGGTGAGGCCTTAACGGTCTGGCATATTCTTGGTTTTCACTCTGCCTTTGCACAACAAAGGCGCTCCTGTTTTACGGAATTCTCAATGGATTGTATTACATTTCACCTTATGCTTGTGCTTTGTGAGCAGCCAATTATTCCTTTCGAGCGTGTTTTCATATTCCTTGAGGAAACAGGTTTTTCCGTAAGTTCTATCTTTGCCAATATGCACTTTCAATTGTACGTGATCATAGCAGCTAATTATTTCTTTCTCAGCATTTTGTCTTCTACCAGGGTGCCGGACTTTTACATTAAATAACACTCTACCTCTGCTTTGCGTAAGTATTTTAGTTTGGCGTAGAATGACCGGGTCGCAGTTGCTCCAGAAAGCCCCAAATCATTCAATCACGTGAAGCAGCTTGATGAAGGGGGTATACATTTTTATTCGTCTGGAATTAAGATCACTATTTATTTCAACGTTCCAGAATGGTATAAAAGAAAGCATATATCCGATGAAATGGACGGGATGCTTTAACATATGTAGTATCGAGAGTGCCAAATAGACCATATGCTAAAAAACAAGCGCATCAAAATCACTTTCAGTTTCGGCTGCTTTACAGTTCTCGGGTCAGTTTCATGTTGCACTGAAACGGACAAACTTCACGCAAGAGAATCTTTGCATTCGTGCATTCGAAGTCGACATCATAGATCTTGTAACCTTCAGTATTGTTTTTGCTGGGGATATCTGGAATACAACATATGAAAAGAATTGTGGTTAATGCGGGAATAATCTCCGACAACCGTTGAAACATTGGCTCGAAAGTATTTTATACTCTACCACTTTATGAGCTTACACTCCTCTAGAAGAAAAGCGACCTCTTAGCACTAATTCGGGGAATTTAGGCTCGTCTTTATTGTGCTGAAAGGTGCATAGAAAATATCGTACCTGCATCATGTGTACGTTATGGTTAGTTAAGCTTTGTTATGGGGGGCGTTAGGCGGTCTTGCAGGTGTTGCACACACGGTACACTCACAAGCGCACCGGGTTTAAGATGATTATCATTATCAGTTAAACTTTTTAGGAGTGAAATGTGTGATAAGAATGCTGTAACCTGATGTTTTCATAGGTTCCACAAATGATTGACTAGGAAATCTATCTTTCAATGCAAAAATATATAACCTTGGCGCCGGCACCTCTAGTGTCGTGTGAACGGCTCGACGCAAGGCGCAAGCAGCAAGCAACATTGAGGAATTCTAACTGGGAGCATAGCCCTTTATACTGGGAGAGTTTGACGCTCTTTTGAAAACGCCGACAATCCAGCAACCACAGGTAGAAGTAAGGCAACCAGAAGATGGCACCTTGCCTCTTTCTCTTCGTCGAAAGATATCCCGTCTATGCTTGTTCCATAAGATATATCACTCTAACCCTACTCTCGGCCAAGCACTATTTTCTGAACCATTTTACATATCATCACGCACCGATCATCAATTAACAGTTGGGATCCGTCATTGCAGCACATCTAACTTTAATGCCTCTTTTTTGTCTCAAACCTCGATTCGCTGGAACCGCCTTCCCGCAGTCATTGTCAAAATCAGTGCCTCCGACAAATTTAAGATTGCCATTACTAACCTGTTACATGATGTGTAGCAGTAAGTTTTTGTATTTTTTGCCTTTTTATTGTTATTTGTTTTATTCCATGTACTGTTCCATTACTAACGCGTTAAATGATGTTTGGTGGTCATTTTGTGTATTTTTGGCCTTTTCGTTGTTATTTGCTTTGTTCCATTTACATAATGAAATATATAAATTATGTCTATATATAATAGACATAATGAAATATATATATGAAAGTATGTGTTATCGAATTTCAAACCCACTCTGGATTAGTCACGCAAGGTATGCTGTGACCCAAAATTGTAATAAAATTATTTATCGCTAACGTAAGTGTTTTTGACGCGGCACATGTATTAGCAGCTCCAACTTATTTTTTGTCATAACCTCTTTGTATTATGTGGATTAAATGTATCCCTCTTTGGTGAAAAGTGAATTGGGAACACTTTGAACATTATGTCTCAAAAATCGCCACTGCTAGAATTCAGTGCCGTGACCGGCGTCATGTAGGAGAGGCTCTGCGAACCGTTGCGCTCAATCGCCAAATTAATTTTTGTTTGAGAAAGCCTAGTTTTGTTTCACAACAAAAGAAATAAAGCTTATTTGTAAGTTATGTTTTCGGAGATCAATAAAGGATGGCCAGTGCTTGAATATAGTGACCAATTGGAGGCACAACAAAATGTCAGAGAACAATAAATTATATTTATAAAACAACTACTAACCGCGCACTTGGACTAGACCGAGCAAGAAAAGTGGCCAAAAGCGAAATCCTCCATTCTGTGCAATCGTAAATACCGCTTGTTCTAGCGGGCGACAGGCTTCGCCCATCGGACAAACCCTCCCAGTATGTAGGGCTCTGACTGGGAGGGGTGGCTGCCGCCATCTACCGTTGTGCAAACCCGCCGAGAGAGCGAAGACAGCCGTCTCCGCTGTCTTGGAGAATCCAGTATATCGATACGTAGCAGCAGCCCTCAACTTCGGCCCAGCGCGAAAGTGCGATGCGCATGCGATTTCTCGGGCGTTAGGTTTACAAACCACTCAGGCAGGTTTTGGGGCTGGAGGCGCGCTTTCTGATGCAGTTGAGCGAAGTTGAGTGTATTCTTCTGATAAAGTATTTGAGTTCTGCTTCTTCTGAGGGTGCGTGTAGCTCCTTGACTCCTTAGAGCGGTTTGATTGCGAGGAGCCTATTGTGGTAACTGAAATTATTGCGAGAAGGGGAGATTTGTTTCACCTGCTCCTCTTTTCTGGGATGTTTTGCTGAAACGTGAGGTCAGATGCCCACTGGGCTAGCCGCTGTTGCGTTATAAACTGCCCGGTGGCATTGTGGGATCACGTGAGGAGCTACGCTTCGCCATTCGGGAGCCAGCTACCCACGCTGACGGTCGCCTGTTCACGCAGGCTCCCTTGAGTCATACTTGGTGCAACTGTTTGAGCTCTCGTGTCTGGATTGCGATTCCCATTGAGCCATTTTGTATATCTCATTTGTTACCAATTATTAAGCCTGCTTATGAGTATGTACGAATAATTAGGGGTCTAATATTATTTTTTACGTGTCCACAAACAGCTCAATGCTTTCTTTGTAGTAGACAACAAAAATGACAGAACTTTAAAAAAACACACAAAAAAAACACACACACACGTGGATATCGAATTACGCGAGTAATTTAGTGTCACGATTACGGCGAAATGTTTTCACATCACGAATTATTTCAAGGTGGGGTGAAATTCAAGTTGCATTTTTATAATAGGAGACGCGGCAAAAGGTTCATGCGGGTAGAAAAAACTGAGTAAGGCTAATACGCGGTGGGACGTGAGAACAGAGGGAGCTTAACAAGACCGGCGAGTCTACAATTCCATTCACAACCTTATAAAAAGTATGATACCACCGTCTATCAAAACGAAGAGCTTTATCCTCTTCGTTTAATAGACGGTGGTATCGGGATTTTTCATCTATAAGCTCCTTAAGTAAAACACATCATAACTGTAGTACAAGAGTATATTTTTGTTGTGTGCCTATGCACTGAATACTATGGGCTGTGCAGGCTTTATGTTGCCTTGGCCTGTGTGTCACGCTATTTGGCCAACAATGGAGCGTGACGCTTTTGGTATAGCATTCATCCCATAACGACATTCTGTGTTTAAAAACTGTAATAGGAACTACCATTTTATAAAGCTAAATCTCGGTTGCTGTAACTAACAGCGCCTAGCTTTGCTGGTAAAGTAATGGTTTCGTTCGCATTTTATTAAAAAGACACTGAAATGAAATAAAATATCTTTTAAAGGTCATGGAAATTGTGGCATTATACCTACTGCTTTCTTAAAATGAAGAACTTCCCTTTGGCTTTATGTGACCATAGCCTTAGTAAATTCTTCTCTGATTCGACGAGCGAAATAAAATCTGCATTCACTTACCAAGTTTCACGTAAAGTGACTGGCCTTTGAAATATCTTAGAACCGTTGTATCTTCTGTCGCAGCTGAATCGCAAAATCATGAATTATTACAATGAAGGTTAGAGCCGAATTGTTTTGTATCGTGATTCTTATTTTGTTTAGGCGTTTTAGCGACTTTATATTTTATATTTGCAATTCCTTAGACTAAACTTTTGAAGAGTTGAGAAAAACATCAGTAGTCGAGACGTTTTTACTAAAAAGAAAAGAGTGACGTGTGACTTGGACATTTATTCTAAATTTGTGTGCCCATGTTGAATTGTAAAGATTATTGGGCGTCCAATCTTACATGGTTCGGAGCACTTAAAAAATATAAAATTTAAATTTTATTCTTGTGAGCTGTACATTTCCTTCTGATAATATATTTTCTCTAAAGAAGTAAACTAGGTATGCAAAAACGGTGTGTGCTGCGAAGTTAGGTTTTCAACAGCATTTGTGCACATTAGCAGCTTTTCTACATAATAAATACATTATGTAACACTACTGCTCAAGCGTAAGTTTCTCAGGTGTTGCGTCCAGGTACACACTTTGATATGTGTCCAACGTATCAAAGTGTGTACCACGCGCTTGATGAGCAACAATAATGTTTAACTACATAAAACATATTTTCTGAATAAGTAAGCAGTCCCAAAATTTACATTCAATATCAATGTTATTTATATTTTAGTGCTCCTTATATGCTGAACTATTATGCATATAAGCGGCAATTTGAAGGTTACTACCTCAGTCATGAAATAGTCGGAAACATCGGCGTTTTAAGTATACTGCAAGACTCAAGTACACAAAAAACTGTACTCAAGAATGCAATGTATACTAATAATTAAAATATATGTACACCAATCAATAACATTAATCTTCATTTTTTTCAAATAACAGAATACAAATCTATCAGAATATTTAGCAAACATCTCAGTAAACCGACTAAACCACGGACCGATTTTTTCGGAAAAAGGTAATATTTTCTAATGTATATTTCACAACGACAGGTGGTCTACACAGGAATAGCGGCTGAAGTATCAACGGCCTTAGACCTTAAAAAGTGTAACTTTATTCATTTTTCTAATTGCTGCCATCTCGCCATCCAACTACTTGAGTGTTCTGTCTTTGATGCCGTAGGGACTGTATGTTGGCAAGATTTGTGTTATGCATTTGGGATTTTATCATCAGACCTATATTAAAGTGGCTTCTGCTGAGTTTTGCAGATTAGTTTGTTTAATATCTATACTGTCGCTGAGGCTTTTTTAAAGTTTTATAATGGTTACATTTTTCAATACGACAATCGTAAAAATATGAAATTACTCGTGCTGAAGAGTTGGAGAAAAGTGTGGCTTCAGCACAGTTGTCCTTGTTTGTCAACTGCATTAAACAGACGTGAGCGCTTGTGCGAATTAATTGTTTATATATGTACATAGGTCAATAAATGCGGCTTCCTTCTACAATTTACACTTTTTTGTTACGAAAATGTTTCTGTTTATGCAAAACTATAGCCTAAGATGGAGGTTGGTTTATCATTATACATTACGTAGATTAGCAATAAGATAAGGGCGCATCATTCGAAGCTCAAATATACCCTCCTCATATGAAGTGCTAAATGGTCGCTACTTCTCGAGTTCTATTTTGTGAATATTTTACTCACTTGAATTGGTGCGGACACCGACACCTCTAGCAGCATCATAATGTGTCTGGAAGTTGCTCCTACAAATCGGACACGAGTTCTTAAGCAAACAAAGTAAAATATACCATATTATATAATCAATTTGATCCTAAACACTTTACGATATTTAAGTTTTCTTAAATTAAGAAACTCAGGCCATGTGATTGAAAGTTCAAAAGACGATCTGTGGTTCCTACTACGATACTGAGATGATCCTTATATGCGTTTAACACTCCTCCGAATCTCTCACGTAATCGTGAACTATGTGACTGATCACTTAGTAGATATGGAGTAGTCACGCACTTATGATGTGGTGCTGCAAGTAGAATATATCCATAACTGTAGAATACAGCAGTCACGGTGAATTGTTAGCTTCCTTGAGCAGGTGTGTTTGACAGTTTCCATCAACACTAATATCTATCATTGGATAAGAACGCCTTGTGCCACATTTCAGGTCAGTAGCACGTACGACCTAACAAATAAACATTAAGTAATATCGTGCGGTAGTTATATTCTTTTAACGTATAAGCTTACTCTTACTATGGGCAACGGTTAAATAGCGTCAAGCGTTACGCAACACGGACTCTTCTCTCATGAACACATCAGCCGCTTACCCCCCGCCCCCTGTCGTACGAGGATCGACTGAGGCGCCTTTGCTGGCAATCACTGGACCACCGGCGGGTTGTTACGCGCGTGAAACTCCTGTGCCACGTCCTAGATGGATCGCTGCAGAACACTTATTTAAACTCTATCCTTCGCATCAGCAAGCGCTCCGGACAAGCCGAGTAGCTTCGTTCCCGAAGCCCGGGCGGACACCGTGCTTTTTGTGCCGGGTGTTTTCGCGAGCAAGACTTAGCGAAATGTAAATTTATAGGCGTATCCGATGTACGACACTACCTGCATATTATAATATTGAAGGAGTTGCACTACAGTCTGTTTTATGGTACAAGTACCTTGATGCACATATCACATCTAATCTAACATGGGAACCTCACATAGGTAACGTACCTAACAATACAAATCACAATCGATCGAAACTAGGGAATCCCTCGTCTATTTGGGATCCTGGGCAGTCCACTAGTTGCATCACTTGAAAATATACAAAGCAGATAGTACGTTTTATTTTCTTCAACTATTATGGAACGTCGAGTGTTTCCTCCATGAAGACTAACCTTTCAGTTCCACACCCATCAGACCGAAAAATGAACGCTCGGTTAAGCTTATTTGACGAAGCTTTTTACACTAGCCCTGTTCTGCGAGATAGGTTCTTCGAGCTTCTTTCTATGTTTCATCACGAATAGATCATCAACATAAAGTTGGCATCCCTCATACTAATAGCAACGCTTTTTCCTATTCCTTTATACCACAGACACTCCTTGAATTGAAACACCTCCCTGCCTTCATCGTCTCAATTACTCAGTGTTCGTTTAGCAAAGCGTTAATTAGTCTCAGTACCTTATTTTGTTTAACTTGCTGTTCATAATTTTTTTAATGTGTAATTTCAATAGTGACGGATTGATCCCCAACCACCTGTGTAATGGTCTAATCCCTGGGGGAAAATAAATCAAAACTTTTCTTTTTCATATTGTATTCTCATTTATTGCCACCGCCCTGATGTAATTCGTCCTTAAAAGGCACCCTTGAGGTAAATAAATGAAATGAAATGAAAAACAAAAAGCGCGCTATTATCCGCGCGAAGAAGGCCTACTTCAGCGGTCAGAACATTCGTACTGGATGACAGCTTTATCAGCAGGTCCAGAATTATTTTAGAGGCTTTCACGTGCCCGGTGTCGTCGCAGTCCCCGTCGCCGATGTTTTACTTGGTTTCAGCGCACATGGGCGTCGCAACGGCTCAATCCTTGTTTCCCCGATTAACATTGTCAGGGAAGGATCACGACCTTTCGTAACATCTCCGGATTTGAAGCAAATTTTCTCTCACTTCACGAGGACGTCATATTCATCAGCATGAACATCAAGACACTTGCACTGGAGTGGAAATGGCGTTCAAAGAGGCCGATACAAGCGGTGTATCTGTGCCACCCAGAAAACTGGGTGTAGCATTTTCCACACACGTTTTCACTACCCATCATTACTATGCGGAAGAACGGGCTATTATCTACACACCGCTTTTTTTTTTTTACGAAACGTCGGTGTATGATCTTTATCGCAAACTTGTCATTGCAAAAAAGAACGATTTGTACCGCATTCATCACTGCCGAATGCTCAATTTTTTAAATACATGGCGCCCGTGGAAAGCGCGATGGTGCGTAAAAGTTACCAGTTATCCTAGAAGCGGATTTGCGGATAGTAAGAAACGGAAGCACCGCACGAGGGCATACATATGTTAACCATGTCTATCTAACAAAACACTTATACTAAACGCAATGTACCTTAATAATAAGCTGTTTGAGAGAGGCAACCGCGCTAACCCTTTCATTTCTATGTAAAGCGCAGTTTTTACACGAGCATTTCGGCCGGAATAAAGCATCCAACATCACACTGACTCAATGATCAGACCAGGGTGTAAGATAGACAGGTGGGGAAACGGCCCATAGAAGCCTACCGCAGCGCCGTGACCGGATTGTGTACTCGTCTGCTTGCGGTACCGCCGATTTGCGACAGATGGCGCTGAGGCGAGAAGAAAAAAAAATCGGAATCGGATTTGCATGGAACTTTATGGGAGAGTGCCCAAAATAAACCGAGAGCACGACAGTCCTTCAATGAAAATCCACGAGAAAGCATCTCCGTCAGTTTAGCCCGTCGCCACCCGTCACCCACCGGGAGTGAGAGTTCGCGGTGCTCCATATAGATGGCGCCACAGAAAAAGAGAAAACCGAGAGGGACACAATCCGGTCGCTCAATTGGCTCTCGTTTCCCCACCTGTCTATGTTACACCCTGGATCCGACGTTCCGGAATCGCGCTTCTCATAACATAGAAAATCCGAGAACAGATATCCACGTTTACATCTACGGAAATGTATTGTTCTCGTATCATGTTTCTTAAATGAGACTACGCTCATACTCACGTCACGTAGGAGTTTGGAGTTCCCTTTGATGCAGACCAAAGGATGACCGAGGCCACCGATGTTGCTGGATCAGTCCCGTCCAAAAGAACTGTAATATTCACGGAGTCCGGGGGATCAACGCTGCTTCCGTTGGTGTAGCATTCGTATATCAAGATAGGCCTTGTTTGCATATCCTTGAAAAGTAAGAAAACAAAATTAAAATATTTAGCACCTGTGTCCGCCTCTTGCTATGCTATCGTCGTGCTACAGTATTAAAGCCAAGTGAATTTATTCAAAGGGAACAAAACGTATCAATCTATACGTATTTGCTTGGTTTAATTGTTGTACTATTTTATGGAGGAGGGTAATCTCGATGAACGGGCATCTATATCATTGTATTTCAAATTGCAAGATCCACAAAAGATTCCTTAAGAAACCGACACTATACTATGTTAGCCGGCACAATATTAAAGCTGGTTAAATTCTCGAGCACTTGCTTCTGATTTGTAGGCCACTCGCATGATTGGTCAAGTCGAGCATGGATTCCTATATTTAAAAAAAACATTGCCTAGATTGAAAGTTTTCCTACGTACAATACACAGAATATCTGTTTATAAGAGAACAAATAATTTCAAGACATTACACTAGAAATGAAGAAACAATTCCTTCATATTAACGCGCAGAAAATGGTTTGAATTTTCCGAACGAAACTCTATCGCATTTAAAATTCTTAGCTCAGATTTATACGCGAAGTGCTCGGGTTACTATTTCCCGCCATAAGCCCTATTACCTCAGGCAAATAAATCAGTCATGCTTTTTAAGCTAGGAGGAGCACATACTTAATTACTGCCTATTGAAAAAGCCCAATAAGCTGTATCGTATAATGGAGATTGTAAACCCGTAGAACATAGCGCATTGTATTGGATTACAATAACCCTTATTGTATTGGACCCCAATATTTTATCCATTGCGGAAATTGGAAATCAATAAATATGTTATTTTATCGTGTACCAATAAAACTGCACTGGGATGAAATCTCCGTAGCAGATCACTTGGCAAGGACAAGGTTTTGGTATGCTTTGACTGTGAAGATAAAAAATATGTATGCTGTTGTTGTTGAGTAATGAATCAAGAGACAAACACGGAAGTATGTGGCCTGTGTCGAATTTATTAAAAATCTGCACGAACTCCACATTCAATGAGTCACCAAACGAGAGTGTTAAATCATTAGTCTTTGTCTTATGAACTTTGCATTCAAATGAACTATGCAAAGATTTTCAATTTTTAACTCGACGACGATAAGTCCAGGACGTCGGTGGCACACGAAAATTGCAAAAAAAAAAAAAAAAAAAACTGCAATTAGTGACTTCGCGAGAAGCTGTGATTTTTATATCTATAATCGGCGACAGGTTAAGAACTCGGGAGCTGCTTCGCCTCCAGTGTGAGCTTTCTGTATCTGTCTACACTTCACCGCACGCGCAGACAAAACCCGGGAAAAGGCAATGATCACGGGCTGGATCTGAAGTGTCATCTGTGTTCCCACCCTGTTACCAACTATATCTTTCCAGTAGCAGCCTGTAACCATGCGATTTACAGCGCGCATCTCCGGTTTCGAGAATGTCCGTCAGTATTGTCCGACTGCGTTGGGCTGTGGGTTTTGTCGTCAGTGGGCTGTGGCAGCCTGCGTAGGCGATATTCCGGACACCGGTGGCGCCTATATTGCTTCTTTGTTTTAATTTTGATTTGAAATTTAATTTTGGAGGCCTTTGAGAAAGCCTTTTGCCATCTTTGGGAAGAAAAATATACAAATGTAAGCTACTTTCGGTTAGTCCGAGATGACCGAACGTATCCAACTGGAATGTTTGTTCCATTTTACGTAGATGTTTTTACGCCGCCAAGTGCTCAGCCACGTCAATGTACAAAGGTCTTAATTGTCGTAAATATTTGACCGCAGAAGATAGCCAAAATAACATAGAACATAGCTTTATTATTAGAACAATTATTTTTTTAAAATACAATAGCGAGCCGGAATAAGTCTCAAGGGTGTGTGCCTGGCTGGGCAGGTGACTAAATCATATAGATTTGATAATGAGAAGATTACTTGAAAGCAATTTACAATCTATAGCACACCCGTTCTCTGAAACCTCAGTGCGTATTACCTCAAACCGAAAAGATACACACCAAACAAACACCTTAGACACACTGCAACCTCAATTTTGTTTTTAAAAAAAGGGGGGGGGGGGGAAATAAAAACGAAAAAATACACAATAAAGACGAAATGCACTTTAAAATTTGACTTCATTCTTCTAAGTTCCATAACGCATTCCTAAGTTTTTTTCTCGACGTTATAAGGATCGTTGATTCTGGATGGCGGCTAAATATATGCGGCACATAATACGCTCTCACACGCTTACCATACCTCGAAACGAAGAGATGGCCTCATTGGCCGCTGTTGAACATAAGGGGTTTTGAATTGGGGGGGGGGGGGGGGGGGGGGGGGGGAGCTCCAGAAACGACGCAGCACGACGGTTTCCCTAAAAAGCCCCTCAAAATACGATATATGAAGTTACTGAAATAATTCTGCACTGGCATGTCAAACGCGACACTTTTAAAAATACTTTTCAACAACGAATTAACTCTTGCGCGCCAGAACAACGAACATCCCATGAAAGCTGTTATGCCGTACCGTAAATAATTATATGTCAAAGCCTGTGCTATCATTTTCCTAACAGAGAAAGGCAGCAACATTTTAACATTGGTGTGTAAGCACGAAACGCTTCTTAACTTCTTGCACAAATACGTTAAAAGTGTACACCAGGATAAATCACTGTCGAAGTAAATTCCGAGGTATTTTACAGATTTGACACATTCAGTAATTTCACAATCACAAGATCTGCAGCTGAATGTATGCAGCGCTACAGAAAGTGGGAGTTCAACCCGTTAAGTGGATTTTTAAAACAAACCAGTTTTGTCTTTGACATATTCACCTTAATGAGGTTCGAAGTAATTTAGTCCATTGTACATGGGTATTTCCCACTTGCAACATGAAATTCAGCAATTGTCGTTAATCAAACAACATATGGTACTTACCCCATGGTGACACATATATGAAAAGGGTTTGAGAAAAATCTCGGATAACACAACATTTCCAATCTTCAATGTCGACGGCAGTCACTCAACGACGATCGGATAGAACCAGGACTTGTTTTAGGGTACGTTTTGAGGAAAGCATGCATTTAGCGCAGCAACGAAGCAAATGAACAGACATGTCCGTTTCTTCCCCAACCCCGCACCCCATCAGCCATTTTTCACAAAAACCGCGAATACTTTCGGGAGATTATCTCAGCAAAGGCAATAATAGTCAAGCTACGTCGAATGGCGCGCGTCACGAGCTTTGGTATTTCCAGGTCGTCACGCCGGAAGAAAACACAAATAGGGTAAGCGGCCTGAATACTTTCGGGAGATTATCTCAGCAAAGGTAATAGTCAAACTACATCGAATGGCGCGCGTCACGGGCCCAGGTATTTCCAGGTCGTCACAACGGAAGACAACACAAATAAGGTAAGCGGCCTGAATAGGCAGACAAAGTACAATCTTTCAAGATATGGCGGGAAAGTCTGAATGCAAAACGCAGCTTGTGAGTCGAGTTGACTCGGTTTCGACAGCGCAAGCAATTTGGCAGAAATTTTAGCTAAGGAGAATTTCGGGAGTCGCCAAATAGCTGTGGCCTAAGCTCTCCTTATCAAATAGTCTATAGACGTCTGCTTTTCAATAGGCAAGGTAAAAAAAAAAAAAAAATCTTTTAAACACAAGTTTGCAGGAGGCTCGTGTCACTAACTACAGAATGACATACACAAAATATGTATGCAAATCAACTGCAGTAGAAAAAAAAACGCTTTATGAGCAGTTTGTCGTACGACAGACTGCTCATAAAGTGTTTTTTTTTTCTACTGGAGTTGATTTGCATGTTACAGTAACAGATAAGAAAAGAATCCTAACTTTTTTTTTTATTCGACGGCGTCCAACCATTGCTCTCGGTGCCACCATTAAAAGCAACAAAAGGATAGAGAAAATTAAAACAAAGCTGGGACAGTATGACTTTCTGAGTAATGAATGTACGCAAACGAGCTGGTTAAGAAACATCATAATCTAACACCCTGACGTTAGGAAGTTGGTCGGTTCCCGTGTTGTTGACGGAGATTATTTTTGCGGATGCTCGTTGACGCGGAAGCGTTCTAATGTTGTAGGGATTTAGCCTGTCAAGCTACGTCTCGTGAAATCTTCGGGACGTCATGTTCTTTTTCTAGATCTTTTCATATTTTGGGCGTGGTCAAATAAACTCAGCTATTCTCGAAATTATTTGTTGCGTTGTCCTTTTTTCTTATAGTTTCTTGTCCCATGGTTTTAAGTTATTACGACCTTCTACGCTTTGCAAAGGAGCGGCACCGTTGTACATTAACTGAAGAGCTTTTAATAACATTGACTGGCAACATAAATAATAAAACAAACTCAGGACAAGGGACGACGAACATTGCTTTCCTTGTCCCGAGTGTGTTTTATTATTTTTTTAGCCAGTCGTTGTACGGACTGTCGTTTTTAGAGAAAATCTTTTTGGATCCCACGTCGTATGGCAAAGCTCCTATAACAGACAAGCCAGATCAATTTAAGTGAAGGTTCGTTGTCTCTTTTCTCCATTCCAGTTTGAATGCCACTCAATATTTTGACATTACAGTTTAATTCAAGTCGCTGCAAGAAGTTAAGTGGAGTCTAAAAGAAATGAAGTTGTAGTTTTGTTTTAATATTGACGTGCACCTTTGCTACTTTCAGAAAAATGACTTACGTCTCTGCATTAAGAACATTACAAAAGTGGATAAGCAATTATATTTAAGTATTCATAAGCTGCATTTTAAGACACCCATTTTGATATGTTTTGTGACGTTTTGCATAAACTTATTTGTAGGTAAATAATTTGTGAATCGGTCTCTAAAACGTGTTTTTTTTTATTTTTTTTTTGGGGGGGGGGGGGGAGAAAGAGAGTGGGCTGCTTCGTTGTATGTTTTTTTTTTTGGTGAAAAAATATATAATTTTATTTTTTAATATGTGGTGTGCTTGTTTTAAATTGTCTATAAAATAAATGAAACAAAAATTAGCTACGTGCCTGGGTTATTGTGACATTGGCGGCTGCGCAGATTACCATAATAAAATTCCGG